TCTAACGCATATCTAATACGTTTCAGATACTTCGACTGCGTATTCAATATTTCTCAAATACTTTATAGTTCTTAATATATATATTTTTTCTCATTTTCCCTTATGCACACTCCATTTAATTACTAAAAAGGCGTAGAACAATAAAAATATCATCAATCCAGAGTTAAATTCTTCATATAATAGATAGAAATTCTATATTTTTATTTCTATAAAGAATATAATATATTATGTCTCTAATATAATATATATATATATATATATATACACACACACTTGAATTTAAAGTTTAGAAAATAGGCAAGCAACTTTTTATCATATTTTAGTAATATATTATGTACCTTTAAAATACTTGCATACAAATAGAAATATATATGAAATCTCCTCTACTTCGACACTATTGTAACCACCTTAGATGAGAAAAAGGGAAAACAGAAAAAAAATAATAATAATAATGTCCATGTATTTTCTACGCATGTCAACCCTAAAGCTGTTATAAAAGTAATTTAATTTCAAATAATGTAGTAAACTATTATTCAGTTATGTATAAAATTCGAGTAATTCGATATCACAAAATATTCTTTCTCACCAATCATGATCATTGTTTCGTTGAATTGTCTATTCAATTTATAACTTATTTTAATAGTGTATAAGTGTGATGTTTATTTGTGCAATGTTTTATTTAGTAGAATAAGTTAAGTAGGTTATTGTTCATTAAGAAATTAAAGTTTAAAATTTTGAAATTTATTTATAATTTTATTGCAAATTAAATTTTACTCATGCACATACAATTTTACTGATATATATATATATATATATATATATATATATATATATATATATATTCATTGGTACCACGTTCTTCCTCAAGTTCTTAGTCCAAAGTCTTTTTTAAAATTTTTTTTATTTTTTTTGATAGAATCCAAATCCAAATACTGAAAGAAAGGAAGAGATAGAATACTATTAAAGGTAAGTTCACGAGAGAAGATTACCCATTTGACATGCGTTTTGTTTCTACTATTTTTGTTTTTGAATTATTACAGTGTTGATTTTGATAATAATAACATATTATTTGGTATAGTCTTATTTTATTTTTCATAGTGCTAAAAACACCTCGTAAGCAGTGGCCCAAAACAAAAATACTAAAAGGATTTTTTTTTTTTCTTATTTTGATAAATATTCATAGCCTAAAATCATAATTGTGCATATTTCTGTTATCGTTTCTAAATGTATTTCTAATTTTTTTTCAAAATACTCTAAAAATAATGTTTTATTTCAGTAAAAAACAAAACGTATAAAATAAATAACATGCAACCGCTTAAGTTTTAATGCAATACAGTCTTTATTTTTGGGTTAATTTCACTAACATCCCCTCAAGTTTGATCAAATATCACTTTAAAACAATTTTCGAAAATTACTATCACTCATATTACAATCATTTGTTCCGTTTTTCTCTCACACTCCAACAGGCACTTTTAGACATCTAACACCATATAAAATGACTTAAAATATTTAATCTAAAGAAATATACTAAAAGACTAAACTATCCCTAAATATTTTGCAAATTCACACACACACACACACACACATATATATATATATATATATTTTTGGAGATAATATCGTTACTCCCCAGCAACCACCGCTGCAACTGGTAGCCGCAGCACCACCATGGCGGTGCCAATATCATCCCCATCCATAACCGCCGCCACCACCAATAAACAAAGAATAGAAGGAAGAGAGAAATAGACCAATCTCTTCTTGCCGATTAAGATTTCAACATTTTTGGGTTTGATTTCTTTTTTTCCAGAAATCCATCGATTATTCGAGGGAGAGTGTTTCTCTTTCTAACTTTTCTCTGTCTACATGCGTGGGTCTATCTAACTGGCGGTCACAATTGGGTCTAACTGGCTTTCTCTGAGATGAGTTTTGTGTATTAGACTAAAAATTGTAGAGAGAAGAAAATTTTGATCTGAGTCTCTGGAATTGAAATCGAAACACTTTTGGTTCAAAACCCTCCGTACATCTTTCGAAATCACACCGTCGGCGGCGAGAGTGAATGGGAGCTGAGACCAGGAGGAATGTTGGTTCATAAGCGAAACCCGGATTCAGATCAAAACCGCGTTCCACCACCCACCATTTGCGTTTGGGTCAAGTATGGGTCCATCTACCCTGAAATCAATATCGGCTCTTAAGCCATATTTGGTAACTCAAAATCAAATCTTTTTTCCTCTTCATTGCTAATAATTGAATTTTTTATTTTATTTTTGGAAATTGAGTATGATAATAAGGTGTTTGATGGATTTGTGATTGATGCAGGGGATTTGAAGAAAATGTTATCTGGGTTAATCTACTACGAAATCAATATCAGCTTTCAAGCCACATTTGGTAACTCAAAATCAAATCTTTTTTTTTTTCCCTCATCGCCAATAATTGAATTTTATTTTATATTTTATTTTTGGAAATTGAAGAAAATGTTATATGGGCTGACGGGTTTGCACCACCAAGATTAAAAATTGTTGTTCAAAGACAAGGATAGAGACTCCAATGCTTTTCTTCACTTTGTGGTGGTGGGGGATAGCTGGCGCTGGAAGCGAGTGTGTGCAGTAATTTTTTTTTTTTTTTTGAAGGGTAAATGTCATGGTTAGTTGGTGCCGAGACTCGAACTTACGCGTTCCAGGAGTCAACAGGAGGCATCTTACCAGCTAAATTAGAAGTCTTTGGCACGACGGGGGTAATTTCCTTCATATATAGTTATGAGGTTTTAAATTGGAAGGCATTAAAAAATGAGGGTAAAAGTGTCATTTCACACCTATTTTGCCAGTGTTAGTGATGAAAAAGTGATTTGGAATGTGAGTGATAATTTTTTTTAAAGATGTTTCAAAGTGATTATTTGACTAAATTTGAGTGGTGTCAATGCAATTAACCTGCTGTCAATGCAATTAACCTAATCTTTTTAACTTGGGTAGAGAGACAGAACCGTATAACTTCTTCAAAACAGCCAGCTCAAAACGGCTTACTTTTTGGCTAGAAAACCTTTTTTAGAACCTCGACATTTGCGCCGAGTCCATGCTCTTGATGTCATTGAAATGACATCATTTAAATGACATCAGCAGCTGATGCCGGATATATTATTGGAGCTGATTGGAACCTTCCCAGTACCTTCAGCATGTGGATATACTATTTGTCGGTGGATTCCTGCCTTTTATTTATAAAAAAGAAAAATAAAAAAAATAAATATTTCCTAAGCCAAATTAAAGTTCCTCCTGAAAAATTATGACTCACAAGGTGTTTAATTTGAAACAGAAAGAGTATATCTGAATATTTTGATGTTAAAGGGACTCTAAATACTAAATTGTGTACTACATTATTATGATGTGTAATTAGTTTTTATTAATAAGAGAAATAAGGAATGTTTATTGATTGAGGTATAACATAATTGAAAATTTTGAAATATTCAGTAATTTTTTGAAAGAATAAAGAAAACAAAAAAGAGGAGAACTATCTTACTTGCAACTGAAGAAAAACAAAAAAGAAAAAATGGAGCCGAACTTGCATGGGAGCTGTTGATCAGAAGTGAGATCGTGACAAAAAGAAAATAAAGTAATAGTAATTTATTATTTTGAGGGCAAGAATGTTAAGAATTATAGCCTATAGGGATTAATAGATACAAGAGAGAAGGAAAGTGTAAGACTTGAACACCGAAAGCAATCCAGCGTCAAACAATATTTTTACCGGAAAATATACAATTGAGAGGAGGAAATATAGAGAAATAGAAGAAGAAAGTGTAGAGAAGTGTGAAAATGAAGTGCTCCAGTCTCCCTTCATCCCTTTTGCTTGTCAGGCCTTCTTCTGGGTTTAGTTTGGGCCTTGGTTTCTATTTTGCATAGGTTGGTTGGTTGGTTTTTTTTTTTTTTTTTTTTTTTTTTTTTTTTGGTAATATGGAAATGGAGTATGGAGTTTAGTATTTTCCGATCCTTTCTATCTTGTGTCTAGCGGTGCACAAAAAATTGTTTAAATTGGTAAATTAATTGAACGGACTGAACTATTCGATTTGGTTCAATTTTTTCACGTTTCGATTCAATTTCACTGATATCATAGTTCGATTTAGTTTCAATATATATAAATCTTGTGAAGATCAATTTGATTCCAAAATACTTTAAAATAGTATCTTCAATCCGTAAGCGCTACTTGTGCCGTAACTTTCTAAGAGACAATTAAACAACTCATGTTTCCTTAACTTTCTCAGAGACAATTATAAGCAAAATCTCAACTTTGAACAAAGCTTCAACGAGTTCCCTTCTTTTTTCAAATCTTTGCTGCTACTTTAATGTATCTTACACATTTTATTTCAATGCTCTTGCTAAGCTCAGATTTGAGATTTCTATGACTCTATATTAACATTTCGCAATAGGATTTTCTTGTTTATCTAGCTTCTAAGCCTTCTATAGGTTTGTTTATTATTCATTAATAACCTTTGATGGTCTCATATTTAAAAAAAAAAGGAAAGTACTGAAAAAAACACTCCGCGTTACATATTCACCTCCTATTTTCACCTCCAATTTTAAAAAGTGTGCTAATAACCTCCTTATTCTTTTAATATAATGTGAAAATGCACCTCATCTGATATAAAATAATGTTGTATGTCTTTTTTGTTAGTTTACTCCTTCGAAAATGTCCAAGGAAGTGTGTACGTTAATAATATCATAATATAGTGATGTTATGCGCACATTTAACCTACTTAACAAAATAATAATACTAAAAAAATAATAAAAGAGGAATTGGGTTCAAGCTTTCCCTAGCCCCTTCTCTTAATAAAAAAACTTTTCTCGCCCCAACGAACTCGTGAGACAGCCTGAAGCCCAAGCATGAAGAAATACATCCTGACTCTAGGGGTTGGCCTACAAAAGAATTGGACCATGGACATAACTCCATGGACCCACATTAAAAATAAATCCAAGTTTTATATGGTCAAAGACTCACTACGTAGCAAAAGAAAAATATGGACAAAGTTCCTCTCTAGTATTTGCTCAAACTTGAGAAATTACAATCAAAAACTGAACAAAATTATAATTACTATTTTCACTACAAGAGAATTCGAACAAACAGCTTCTGAAAAAAATAATCTGAAACCGTAATAAAAACCCGCGAAATTATTCTCCCTTCTTTTCCAACGCGTGGCAAAGAAACCAACTGTTTTCTTGCACATCACAAGAACACACCATGCACACAAGAAGAAAAACAACAGCACACCTTGCAATTTACCACACCCTCACACACATCTCACAACCAGTACTCCTTAGCTAGAACGCATTCTTGTTAGTCAAAACATATCAGATGTGTTCTTCTCTGTGTGTTCAGCTGTACAAAACGAAAAAAAAAACAAGATTATATTTTCTAAGATATATCATATATATAATCAAAATAACCAAGCTGTATATGGCTAAATCTTTAAGATTACTAACTAAATCACTAGAGCAAAATGTCCAAAGACTCACTTGTTGGAGATTAACTCCACCACAGAAGGAACCACAGATGCAATGATCATCAATGGATCTCCGAAAAGAACGCCAACTACACTCTTGAGTAATATCTCCACTATCTTTCTGATAGTCTTGAAACCCAATTTCCCTTGATTCTTCTTCGAATTAGGTAAGAGTTGCAGATCTATCTTCTCTTTCTTCCATGCCTCATGCACCATTTCAGTCACACAGTACACATGAATCTGATACTCCTTACAATCAGAAATGTAAGACCAACCTCGAATGTCGGTTTTGTGGCGCCGAGGCTCTTTCTTCTTGCACCACATGCATTTTGATACCACTTCATTACGAAGCTTGAAAATCGCGCCATCGATGCACAGTTTACTCTTGAGGTTGCTACAACAAGGGTGCAAATACAATTCCTTGGCTTTGTTGTGGTAGAGAGAGCCACATATGTTACTCCCACACGCAATGCAGCGTGTTGTTGAACATTTGCTAGGAAGTTGATCAAGGAATTCGAGGGTGTGTCCTTTGAGGAATTCGTGGGAAATTTCCAATTTCGGATTCCTGCATTCCTTATGGAGCTCATAGTCACAGTGCTTACATCTGTATCTTGGTCCTAAACCTTCCTGCTTGCATCCATTGCAAGTGAACCGTTTTTCATAGCTTTTCAACTCGAGCTCGTGCTTGTGGCTAGTTTGATTTTTCGTACCAGTAGTCATGCGGAGAGCGTCATGATCAACAATCTCTTTCCTGAAGTAATTTCATCATATGATTTTCAGGTGTGAATGAATTTTAGAGGGAAAAGAAATTGTGTATATATTAACTAGCTAAGATAATATACATGACTAGCTTCTATAGAGGATGCCAAATGCAAATTCAGTGAACATTATGGTAAAATTTTGTAGACATGCAAGTGTTTAATTTATTCAATATAAAAATAAAAAAAATAAAAAAAACTTACAGTTTAGACCGTTGATTATTTTGGAAGAATTGCTGGTGTTCTGCCATGGAAGGTCGGGGGCCGCTGTAATGAATTAAAATCAATATAATACAAATTATGCATTTAATTTTCCCTATAAATAAAGGACAGCCACACGAAAAAGCATAAATTTTGTAGACATGTGTATACTTATGATTTGTTCAATTTATTCAAGATAAAAAAAAAAAAAAATTTAAAAATTCTTTCGGTCTAGACCATTGATTATATTGGGAGAATTGTTGGTGTTCTACTATGGTACGTCGATGGTCAGTGTCATGACCTGATCAAAAAAGAACAACTATCAAATGACAAGAAAATAAATAACTAAATCCAAATATCTTATGGTTTTGTATAAATTTGTTGAGTATAAATAAAAATTTTCTCCTTTAGTTTGAAAGAGATTGCGTGTTGAGAGATCAGATAGAGATTGCCAGACTTATATAAAATATAGAAAGAAGATATTTTCTTTAGATTTATAGGTTTATCAAGCGATATATACATTTGTAGATGGCTTACTTAACCACCATGCACTATCATTTTGTGGCATAAATTATGTTTTTGGCGGTAACTCTCTGATTTATCAAAAAAAATGGTACACCTTATTCTCTATTCTCTAACAAGGAGGTAAAATGACTTTATTGCCCTTTTAAGGTTCTAAATCTACACATATCATTGATGAATAAATAAAAGAAGTCATCATATATATATATATATATATATATATACCTGATGAGCCCTTTGGCTCCAATATATGCCAGAGAATCAACACTACTATTACGAATATACACCAAACAGGCACCATAGCTGCATATGTGAAAAGGATATGAAAATCAATTCTGCTGGAAAAACAACAATCTTTAACCAAATAATAATAATAAGTATGTTCAGATGTTTCAGTAAGAGATTGTCGACTTGAATTGAACTCTTCATCAAAAATGTTTGGTTTAGTTCGCAATCTCACATAGAGGAAACTTGGAGAGGAAAAATTTATGAAGGGCATGTCACAAAGCAACTGTACCATGTATTTATAGATTGCCAAGTGATGGTATATACTTCGCAATTAACAAGCAATATTTAAAAGAGATTTGAAGATTAGTCACCATCTTAGTTGTTAAGAAACTTCAAATTAAGAGTTTTTGTACCATTTTTCAAATTTGAAAAAAGTGTAGAGAAGTGGTCTCATTCCTTTTGCTTAAGCGCTTTTCTTGGGTGTAGTTTGGGCCTCTTTAGGCCTTGTTAGTTCTTGATTTGGGGCTTTGGCCTGTCATACTTGTTCCCTCTAATGATATTCATGGGGTATTGTCCTTTCTATTTTTGTAGAGTTTTTTTTATTCTTCTTTACATGCTCTGAAAGATCTCTAAGGACGAAGCTTCAACAACTTCCCTTCACTTTCCAAATCATTGTTTCTTATTTTAATTAAACATCTCACACATCTTATTTCAATGTAATTCCTTAGCTCAAATTTGAGATTTCTACAAGTTTGTTAAATCTAATTCAGTTGAATTTTGAAAGTAGTGCTGCTACTGTCATTTTGATATTTCGATTGTAACTTCAACTATCTTTATCAAAAAGCGATTACAAACCTTTAAACCTAAATTCGATATTATGTGTGATTTCTCTATTTATGTTTTCAAATTATTATTATTTATCTTATAATTAATTACAATTGAATATATTGAAATAGTAGATTCAATATATGAAAATAGTACGTCATCCAAAAAACATATAAATGATGAAGCATGCCAAGTAATAATTTGAATTAATTAGTCTATTAGTTCCATGAAATTTTGTAGACAAGTATTTATATATACAATAATTTGTTCAATTGATCGATCAAGATAAAATAAAAAACAAAAATTCTTACAGTTTGGACCGTTGATTATTTTTGGAGAATTGCTGGAGTTCTGCTATGGTACGTTGGTGGTCACTGTCAAGAACTCCTTTTGCGGATTTTGTTGGTACTATTTCCATGTTCTGCAGCTGGTTGTTCTCGCCGGAGGAGAATTGCTCCGACGTCAAAAGCTCCACTTTCTTCCCAGCCTTTCCAAATGCGGCTATGAGTGTGTGTGGGTCTGTGGTACCTGAGATGGTCACCTTTCTTTCATTTGTATCTATTTCACTTGAATGCACTACTCCACGATCATTTTTCAGCACTTTCTTCACCTTTTTCTTACATCCATCGCATGTGCAGTACAATTTGAGATCAAAAGTCTTAGAGGAGGCCATCGAAATTGGTTGGACTAATTCCAGCTGATAGCAAAAGGGCAAACTGCAAACACAGATAAATAACTAAATCTGAGTTGAACAACAACAGAACAAATAAATAAATATATATCATATTTATTTGTATTAAACAAATCGGTAAATATAATTTTCTTGTATTAAATTGTTGACTACAATTAAATAATGTTTTCTTTAAAAAATATTTTTCTTTTGAAGAGAATTTATGCGTGTTGTGTGTTTTGTGAGAGAGAGCCAAACATTTTTATAAAATATAGAAATAAGCTATTTTCTTTAGACTTGTTCGTTTTCTAGAGTGATTAGATCGACCAATATATATATATATATATACACACACACATATTTATATATCAATTCATCGATCGGTGTATATGCATATAAACATATATTTGCACATCAGATGAACATATGCCTACAAAACATTATAAGGAACATAGTTTCAAATTTGTAAAAGGATACAAATAGTGTAAGATGATGATGCTAAAGTGATCGTGAATGATAGAAGAGCTAGCTATATATGAGGAATATAATTACTCAATATTTGACAAGCTTAATTAAGCAATTGAGCGAAGTGAACATATTTATCATGAAACTTGGTAAGAATTAATCAAAACTAGAATCATTAATTCTTTCCTTCGACAAACATATGACCAAAAGAACAGATCTCGAACTTACCCCTAAAAAAATAAAAATAAAAATAAAAAATAAAAAATAAAAATAAAAAGAAAAAGAAAGAAAGAAAAGAGAGAGAGAGAGATCTTGAAACTTACTTGAATGAGGGCAGCTAGCCAGATTTAGAGTTTTTATTAAGTGTCACAAAGCAACTAGTACCATGTATTTATAGATATATGCAAATGAAGGCAAATTCAAAGAATATTAGTCTCCATCTTAGTTGTTAAGAAACTTCAAGGTAATGACCCATTCTTATTTGATTTTACTTCCACGAAAGTTGTTTGGAAATTTTAAATGTAAACAAGGCTTTAACGCAATCATTGTATCCTAACTGCTTTTGAAAAAGAAAAAAGTTACTCTCTTTTAATACAGTAGAATAATTCTCCTTTCAAAGTTGTTAATTGATGAACTGATTTAGTTTCTGTTTTGTCAATTGGATGGATGTGGATAATTTAAATTGTTTAACAGTACTATAATAATTTAACAGGAGTTTTATGATTATAATCATATACTGGATGCATAATAGGATCTTAATAATACCTGTTTTCTATTATGCTGGTTCATGGATATACTTGATGTTCTAATGAATGTGCATCACTGGTGGATCATTTGCATTATATATACTGGTATGGGACGGTGACATATCAGGGATGGATTAGATCAAAAAGCTAAGTCCTACCCCTTCATACATATGGAATGGATTAACTAAAACAGTTAAATCCTACATGGATGCATGTCCTGTCAACTAAAACAGTTGAACGACATAACGGATGTTTGTTTTATCTTTCTGCATTATGAAGGAATATATATATATATTTATGGTACCGTGATACGAGCTTGAGTCTCTTGATCATGGTTAGGGTGCATATATTGCAAAGATTGGATAACTAGATATAGCTAATGTTAGGTCTAGGTACTTGGCCGCTGAAAAGCGTGTTTTATATGTCACCTTCTACCCAGGCTAAACTATGTTATAGGCTAGTGAGCATCCTATAGTGTGTATATATATATATAGACTATTGTAGATATTGCCGAGCTATCAAGGATGTATATGCGTACCGGGTTTATGTACGGATTGTAGTAGATTGGAACTTGCATATGGGCCTGACCCACTTCTTTTTTTCAGGTATTCGCCAGTACCAGGCTTAGAGTTTGATCGTGTTGATGCAGATACAGACACTCACTCTTCCAGTTACATAGGATTTCCTTTCTATTTTGGTTTTGGATTTTAATTCTGTAAATTTATTTAAAGTTTTGGAATTAGGGGTCCACTAGGTGTATTCCCGAGTTGTACGGATTTAAATTATATTAATTTATTATTTAAGGTTCGAGGATTTTCATTTTAGTTTCTTTCAGCGCATTATTATTTTATTCTTAATTCAGTTTTATTCTTGCTTGGTTACATATTGATTGTTTGGTATCCCTCGGATCTGTGCTCGGACTTGATCACCCGTGGCTCTAGAAACGAGGGGTATCACAAAACCTCGATTGCAACCTCTCTGTATTCTCACAAGTCTTACTCTATTTTTTCTCAATATACTAGGTACGTGAATAGGGTTTTTCTAACCTTAACAGACGTGTTGTTCTATATATATAGACATGAATATACCTAAGTCCAATTTAAAACCCTAAACTAAATCCTAGTCGGCCAAAAGAAAACCCTAATTCAATTAAACAACCCCGTATTTTAAAACAAACTTATACGACAATAAATTCCTAATTTAACAAACCAATTAATCTAAATAAAACAATTCAATACATTTAATTCAATTAAACCACCAATTAAAAAAAATGAAAATAATACACAATAATTAAATAAAAATAATTTACCAATTAAATCAAATAATTCAATTAAACCAAATAACAAAAACAATTAAATAATTAAAAATGCAACAAAAATACTTAATTAAAATACCATGACTATCCTTTTAAAATTAGGGATATTACATAAGCCTACACTTGTCAACCATCCAAGCCAACAATTGCACATATCCTAGGCCAACAAATGGATGAATCTCCACCCTCCACATGTCATAAGATAATGCTTTCACGTGATTACACCCCAATGCCAATAAGTAGCTTCATGAGAGTGTGACACTTGTCACACTTTTCAAAAATTGTAAAAGGGTTATTTTTCAAAATATCTTCCAAATTAAATTGCAAAATAGTCCCCAAGACCAAAAATCATTATTTTACAAAATTACACTAAAACCCCAAAAATCAAGAATGTTTCCAAGAAAGTATGCATCCATGCCCTTTATGAAAAAGAAAGCAACTAGTATATTTTTTTACAAAAGTAAAAATACAAATATCATGGAAATCAAATATCATGGATGCATGCAAAGCCGGAATCAAATCTGAGCACGAAAAGTGAGGTTATGCAAGGAAAAACGATAAACGGAAAAAGACGAAAAAGAGAAAAGGACTAAAAAAGGAAATCACCGAAAAATGAAATAAAGGAAAATGACCGGGTCATTACATATGTAGCTCCATTCAACTAATCAAAAAGATTATCGATCCCGGGCAAAGTGTAATACCCCTAATTTTAAAAGGATAGTCTTGACATTTTAAGTAATTGTTTTATTGCATTTGTTTATTTGATTAGTTGTCTTTTTGTTTAATTGTTTTTAATTACTTGAATTATTCTTTTTGTTTAATTGTTTTTAATTACTTGAATTATTTGTGTAATTGAATTATTTGTTTAATTATTTGATTTATTTGTTTTAATTACCTTTATGTTTAGGTGGACTTATTTTTAAATTGTGAATTAAATGTCTTAATAGTTCTAGGGTTGTATTTTCTTCACGGAGGCCGCCGACTTGCTTTTATAATTAGTTTAGTTTTCCTTTCCTTCTCTCAATATAATTAGAATTAGGGTTTATGTTTGTATAAACCTATATATATACCTTTATACGTCTGCCAAGGGTTAAAAACCCTATTCACTTACACGGATAGGCAGAAAGCAATAACAGAAAGGTTTAAGAGAAAACAGAGTAAGGAAAACTAAGGTTTGGCTTAGGCTAAGACTGAATCAAGGAGAGAAGGAAGGAGTGTTGGTCGTAGGGTTGAACCAAGGGGCAACAAAAGAATAGAATGGTGAAAGATCGCCGGAAACTTAGAGACGACGGTGAAAGGTTTCGAACTGAAACCTAAAGGCAAGTTCTATTCTTAACTCTCTCCCTTTGACTCGGGTTCTTTACATGCCTAACATAATTCCAGGAGTAAATAAACATTAACTTAATTTGGTTTGCATGTTAAAATTGATTAAAACAGTACGTGTATTCATAAATTTGTAATTGCTTAATTTTTAAGCTTTCTTGCATTACTTACTTGTTTTAGTTGTTATTGATTAACCCATAAGAAATTTTATAATATCTGGAACACATTAGGACTTAGTATTAACCAGTAGGAACCCTAACAATGGAGGACAGAAGGAATGGAAGTCACCGGAGGTGAAACGGGTGAAGGAAACAAGCAGAATTGGTCACCTGAGCAAAGAGCCGGCTCCCCACAAGGGGGAGGCGGCTCTTCCCCCTTTCTCTTGATTTTTGACAAATTGTTGATTCTGGGCTGGGTTTTTGACGTTCCAGAGGTAGTTAGGGGCTGTGGATGGGAAGTTAAATAATGTCTAAGGACATTTTAAAGCTCCAGAGGGTTTGATAATATATGATAAATCACAGGGAATTAATATATGGAATAGTATGAAGTTCGTAAGTAAACTGGCATATTGATCTTGGATACAGATGATTTAATTTGTTTACCTCTAAGTTAGCAATTGAATTTATGTCTGTTACAGTTTAAATCATGCCACAATGATATATAAATAAGCATGTGAATTTATATATCCTATTATGCTGACTTAGAATTAACTGATATTTACATGTATGATCTGCATTATCAATTAGTGGACTTTGCGCAGTAATATCAATTAAGCCTATTAATTTACCAAATTTTATCATGCTTAGTATGGAACAATTGATGTTTAAATTTAATATTTTATTATCAATTGTTGGATTTATGGAATAGTTAATATTTACATTCATTGTTTGTATTATCAACTGTTGGATGTTTGATTGTATGCACCAGTATGGGACGGTGGCATACTAGGGACTGATTAGTTTCAAAATACTAAATCCTATATATACCGGAAGAAGGGAATGGATTATAAAAATTAAATCCTACTTATATTTAAGTCAGCTTAGCCGAACAGGTTGAACGACTAACTGGATTACTTGTTATTTAAGTCAGATCAGCCGCATAAGTTGAATGACTTACTGGATTACTTGCTACTTATGTTTTATGTCACATCAATGAACAATTAAATGACATACTATGATTTGGAACGGAATTTAAATATATGATTATGATACCGGTATATGAGCTTGAGTCTCAGAGTCGATGGTTAGGGAGCGTATATGCATTGCGATACATAACTGGCTATAATAGGTAGTGGTGTACCCTGTTAGGCTTAGGGACACATGCCCACCCCGAGTGCGTTTTGCATGTTGCCTCTATTCAGGGTGAGACCCTCTTCATAGTCCAGTGAGAGTCCCGTAGTGTGGATATATATATATATATATATATATATATATATATATATATGTACAGACTATATAGCTATTGTTTAGTTGTTTAGGATGTACATGCGTATCAAGTCTCTATTTTGATTGTAGTAGTTTAGAACTTGGCTCATGGGCCTAACCCACTCTTATTTTTCAGGTGTTCATCAGTTCCAGGCTTAGAGCTTACTCGTGCTGAGCAGAGACGGTCATTCCTTCTACCAACGACGTATGATCTATCTTCATGGTTTAGTTTTGGTTTTCTTTTACTTATTTTAGTTCAGTTTGGGATTTTATTAGGGGTCCACTAGATGGATTCCTGAGTTGTTTATCTATCGGAGATTTTGGAATTATTGGTTTAAACTCTTAAACTTTGAGGATTATATTTTTTTTAGAATTCTTTCAGCTTTATTATTTTATTTATTAATTCATTTTGTATTCTGTGTTCAATTACATATTAATTGTTTGATATTCCCTCAGGTTTAGGCTTGGGCCTGATCAACCCATGTCTCGGAGTCGAGGGGTATCACAAAAGGGTACTTATTACGACTAGTAACCTTGTTCAACTCCCTGTAATATATACACAAACGAAGTGAACCATCTTTCTTCTTCACAAACAAAACGGGTGCGCCCCAAGGTGAAGTACTCCTGCGAATAAAACCCTGACTAAACAATTG